AATTGCACACAGATCTGTTGATATCACTTGCCAGAACTAGTACCAGAGTTGCCAACTGGAGTCGAAGAATCAAGATGTCAAGAGTCAGAAGCTGCAAGAGTTTCATGGAATCAACAGACAGAAACACTATTGCTAGAACCCCAACAAGCTGACAACAACGTTCCAGGAGTGTTTCGTATTTCCTGTCAACAAGGTCAGGCAGAAAGGAAAAAAAAAATCCCTGGCCAAAAACAATTGTATCTGTCTTTGAAAGACAGAGAAAATATCCCTAACATGAAATCAAAGAACTGATCTTATCAGTCTGAACACAGCTGAGGAAAGAGGATACTATTCCCAGCCTATTCCCCATCATTCACTCCACCACACACTGCTCAGCTTTTTACTTGTTCAGCTTTCCTATATACCCTGCTAACCTGATCAGCTACATAAACCCAGTTAATTCAAATCTTTTCAAGTCTTGCTTTTTTTTTTTTTTTTATAAGCCCAGGTATTCTTGAAAAAAGAAACAGCTTGAAAAGCAGGTATTTGCAGTAATGTCAGTGGATATCAGGGCACAGTTCTGAAATGCGAATTTATCTGAAGAGCCAGAGATAAATAGCTAAGAAGGCAACAAAACTTTTTTACAAAAATTTGCTGCCAGCAGGACAGCAGGTCTGACTGTGCCTCAGCAGAACCAAACAGTGCCTTAACCACATGGTCGGTCAGCTCCCTGGGGAGCTCCACTAGGCAGGTCATGCATTTGTGCTTACAGACAAGCAGCTTTCCTTGTCTTCATTCACTGCCCTTATCTAGATCAGCACATGTATCCTGTCATAGCTGAGTCCAGCTCAATCATATTTTCTTTAGGAAGCCCACAAAAAGGGACAGATAAGTCTTATTTTTCTGTGAGAAACTGATCTGCCCAAGAAGACCTTCCAGGTCTCCCCAGACTGCTGTCAAAAAGGGCTGTTTGCAACTTTTTTCTGTTTTCAGAGATTCTAGAGGCACCCTAACAACACACGGGTTTTAGTATTGCTTACTGAGTAGTAATAAATTAGCAAGAATTGGATAATAATTACTTAGCAGGTTTCTTCCACATGATTGAACAGAGTAAGATTTTTCAGTAAGGTTTTGAAGAAACTCACCTCTGGCAAACAGAACTCAGGCACAGAGTCTACAAATACATGGCCAGAGCACTCCTTTAGTTCCTGTAAGAAAAATGTATCAACAGAGAAGACACAAAACCACAATACAATAACACTCCAATGCAGCATATACTTTCAAAACCTTCCCTTCATCCCAGCTAATTTCCAGCCCATTACTATGTTATGTTTATCCCTTTTCTAGATACAATTTGCCATAAGCAGATCTGCTGAAATTCCTCATGTGAGATGAGGCTGCTTGGACTTCAAGGGAAATCTGTAACAATGCCAGCTGACTTTGTCTATCACTCAGAAGTGAAGTATGAACTGAAAAGTGGGTCAAGAAGACCAGTCTCCATGGAACTGCTGCTCTCCAGACCTGGGAGGTGTGCACAGCACCTCTACAGAGCTCTGTCATACATGTTTGGAATTCAGTTTTTGTTTCAATTACATCAAACCTCTAGTCTTATTAGGAGTAGAATACATCTTTTAGACCCTGCATCAGAGCATTTTGTTAAAGATCTTTTGGAGATTCAAGCTTCATGCAATACTTTTTGGTAGATTTATCTCTACTGAATCTCTACTCCTGTATTTTCTTCTTTTTTTTTAAAGCTGACATAAGAAATGTTTGTCACGTGAAAATTCACATTCTTCAGGATTACGTACGGAACAAAAATATTCCCAACTCTAGTCCTAATGCACTGCACAAGCTACCTATCACTTGTTCTGCCTTCTCTTGTGGATCCTCCTCTTTGCTTGTCCCAAAGAGAGCGGTCTCAGCCAGCTTCAGACTGACAGAATTAAAGATTGAATCCAATTCTTAATAATTACAGTGCACCTGCCAACTCATAACGAATGAGCAATTACATCTAGTGGCAGAAGTCTCCTAACCTCATCTCAGGGGAGTTCAAAATGATTAAAACTAGATCGCAGCAAATTTCAATGCCTCTCCAGGACTTAAGTTTTATAACTGTCATCCAGAGAGTGCTATCACAGGAATGTCCACCCGACATGACAAAACACCTCCCTTTGACTCCTTCCCTTGCCTTTTTCCAGCATGGGTCAAAGAATTTACCATTCCAAGCAGTTGCAAGTCAAGGTGAAGGTAAGAGATGCTGCTTTTGAATTTTTAACATGATTTCCATTGACACTGTGTGAGTCTTGAAGATTTCTCGTGAGCACACACTGCAGCAGCAATACCACAGAAATGTAAATACTTTATATATAAAAATATACTGACAGCCTACCTGTTCTTTGGACAGAACAGAGTGCAGCTCTGACACCAAGGCTGGGGTCCGGAGAAACAAAACCAGGCAATTCAAACCAGGCAACTCCATTCCTGTCACTGAGCCTCTGTAGCTCTGCAATTGCCAGTTAGCATGTGCTCTGAATAGAGCTGTTACTATTTTACTAACAGAAATGCTGCCTATACAGTTTCTTTTGTCTCCAATGAGAAGAAAAATCAGGTCTTTAATCTATGGTCTTCAGCTCCCTTGCCTGTAAAAATCAAATCAATCCATTTTGTCCACCTCAAAGATTCCTACAAAAGCAACTATTATGACTGTTTTCCTTTAATGTTCACATAGTCAGAAAATAGTCTATTAAAACAGTATTTTTTCTACTGATACCTATTGCTGCACACATTTGAAATGTATCTGCCTATTTTACTAACATCTGACATATTTTTGTGTTCATTGTTCCCCCATGGCAGATCAAGCTGCATGCTGCAGTGCCTAGTTTTGGTTGAAACCCCAGAAAATTCTGCCTACAAACTAATGTAATGAAAAGAGAGGAAAAAAGCAAATTCTGTGTCTCTCATGCAGCTGAGCAAGTCCTGTGTCTTAGAATTAGGAGGCTGGAGATAATATCCTCCCTGCTATGTCCAGCAGCAGAACACATGTTGATTTCAGAGGCCAAAGACATGCTTTTCTTTTAGAAGAGACCTCCCATAGGCAAACCATTCACTTTCTCATAGTTCTCCTGCCTAAAAAAAGGGTATGAAACCAATCTAATTTATAAGCATGATGTGAAGCTTTAGTATCAGAAAAGTGAGACTGCTGAATAAAAAGCACTCTAAGAAGGCAAAGCACTATTATTTATGGAGCTCCATGAAATAAAAATATTCATACTGATGATTTCTGCATTTTAACAGGATTTTTAAAAAAGCTAGGCTACCTCTGAAGTCTGAAAGCCTGAGTTGCTATTAGCATTTTGTTTCAAAATGTTCTGCACTACAAGAACATCATGGCTGGTAAGGGTACACAGAAACCTTTGCGATGAGTCAGCATGGAAGTATTGTTCCTGCAGTGCAAGCTCCTAACCTGTCAGGTAGCTTTTTGCATAGCAAGAAAATTCTAACCATCAGTATAGTACCTTGTCCAGAAATGTGCTTCCATCTTTCAAAACCCAACCAGGAAGTTTGGACAGCCTGGGGCTGCAGAAAGAGAGAAAAAGATTATTGCAATATTACTTATATCATTACCAGTCACTAAGCATAGACCTATTTGGTGTCATACAGGAGGAGAACACCATTTCTATCTCAGGGAACTAACAATCTCAATAAAAAAGACAGACAGTTTCATTGTGTTTAAGTGTTCGCTGAAATGACTTTTACAAATCATGATTACGACACTTACAACTAAAAAGAATAAGAGGACGATGCACACAGGGAGTTTGATTTTAGTCATTTACAGTGAGAATTTCAAAAAGACTCAGTGTTGCTTAGGTTGCCCTGAGGTGAAAGTGGCTGTATAAACAGAAGAAGGGTTAGGGCAGCAACAAACTCTATGCCTGAAACAATACACAAGCACCACAGAACTGCTCTGGGACAGAAAATGAGACAAATATTCCCATTAGTGACAGCAGGGAAAGACCAATGCTCTGGACCAAGTCATTTATAGACACAGAGGTTGTGATAGTATATCCACATAAACCATGGTTTCATGCTTAGGTCTCACCCTGAAAACCCCCACTAACAGCTGTACAGGGCATTTACCTATGTTGGAAGGACAAAGGAGCAAGGAGGTTTTGCTGTGAACTGCACATGTTAAGCTGGAAGGTTGGTACCATTTAGCGATGACAGGGCTCCTTTAGTTAATTGTTTTGAGCGCTAAGAAACTTCAAGATGGACACTGCAATCCCAAGTTTACAGTAGTAATTGCTGCAGCATTTCTTGCTACCACAACTGAGACTTATCCATACTTCACAGGGACATTTGATTTTTGTGTGAGTCAGCAACTTAGTTCTAAAACCAGTCTGCCCAGATTCATGCACATCTACAGAAATCCTAAAAAGTTGAGGAAACAAGAGAACTGAACCTGACTGGAACAAAGCCCTGCAACAACATCAGATTTCGAGACAGAACTTGAGAACATGGTTGCAAAGAAATCTGCAAGTGTTGTGCACTAAGCTCTACAGACAGGCATGCTTATATGCTGCAAGGGTTTTCAAATTTAAATCTTGAAAATAGAAAGTGATTCAAGGGCTCAGAGGAATGTTGTGTTCAGACTAACATCAGTATAAAAGAACATATCCAAACTGGCACTCCAGAAAGGAACAAGGAAGAAAACAGGGGAAATTTAAGACTTAAGAAGTGAAGACAGAAGGTAAGAGGTGAAAGCAGAAGGATATGTCATCAGAGCACAGGATATGCCTGAGAGTGCAAATCCCTTTTGAGGATGAAGAGTAAGTCTGAAGAAGTCTGTGACAGAAAAGATGAGGTGGCTAAATGTAGTCCCCACTAACACATTCAAAAACAATTTCAGAGCAGCATTTGGAGACTGAGGAGGCTGAGTAGAAATGGTGCAGAAAGATTAAAAGAGCTACTGAAAAAACAAGGAACAAGCAAGAACGAACCACTCTGATACACGACAACTTCGACATATAAGGGAGGACAGAAATCTTGGTTGGAAGGGACATCTGGGCGTCTGTAGTCCAATGTCCCAAAGCCAGCAGTAGCTCTGATCAGCCACAGCTTTGTCCAGCTGCATCTTGCAAATGCCAGGAGCATGAGAGTCTACAGCTGGTGAGACTAGTCTGGGTGAGAGTGCTAAGAAAACGTTCATCACTGGGAGGCCAATGTCCAATCTGAGCCACTCAAGACACAATTTGTGGCCACTAGCCCCTTATACTGCCTGCCACTGTGAAGAAGAGTTAGGCTCTGTTGCTTTTTTAACTTTCTTTCAAGCAGATGTAGGTGACTGTTAGCTCTCTATCTATAGCCTCCCCTCTGCTGGGCTGAACAAGCCCAGCTCCCTCCACATAGTCACAGGCTCTGGGCTCTGACAATCTTGGAGCACTCCCGAACACTCTCTCCAACTTCTCAGCATCCTTCTTCAATTGGGAATCCAAATCTGGATCTATTTGTAATTTCAACAGCATGAGCAGAGCAGAATAAACTTTCCTTGATATGCTTGCCCTGCTCCCCCTAATTTAGCCTAGTACATAATTTGCCTTATTCATGATGAGGGCACTATTGACTTGTCCTAAACCTGGCATCACTGAAGAGTATACAATCTTGTCAAGAGAGGCAAAATTAGCAGATAGGTCTTGTGTGTGAGTGAAAAGTGAAATAAGCAACACAGGACAGAAAGGACTCTTTACCTTGAAGCCAAGAAGTAATACAGTTCCTGCCGACATACTTTTGACATTGTAATAGAGTGATTGATTAATCCAAAATAGCTAGAACTGTCCCATAAATAATGTGAGCAAGTGTGTCATGGCTAGACAGGAAAGGTTAAGAGCTTCCCACATGTTCATTTTACTGTTTTGCATTTGACTTTGATATAGGGGAGAAAATTCCAGTTGACAAAACTCCTTTAAAGTACATGAACTGGCATAAAGTGTTTGGCAGCTGCAGTTACTTTGAACACACTTCATGGGGTGGGAGAAACAGGACTGCCATTTCCAGAACAAGGTGGAATCTAAATACCTTTTGATGGGGTTTTTTTTGAAGAGGAAAAAAAACTCTAAAAAATGTCCAGCCCCTTTAACGACACAAACACTACAACACACTCTTATAGATTAAAGCATAGGCTCTCAAAATGTTTGCTCAAGGAGGGTCCCATGCCAGGTACAACACAAGATTTAGCTGCATAGCAAAGATCCTATGTAATATCATACCTTTATGCCCCACAGATGTAAAATTAGGGCCCCTTTACAGATGACTTACTGAGACTTGCAGAACCCAACTGGTTCATGGGTCATACTTTGGGAATCTCTGGTTTAAAGACAGCAGAGGAAAGCACAGCCTGTCTCTGGTTAAGATTTCACATGGGTCCATCTCAGCCTAGCTGCAAGAAGCAGAATGTCTGGTTCTGAGAGGACACAGAGCTGGTAATAACCTAAGATCTGACAGATCTTACGTTAAAATTCTTGTACTGCTACAAGCTTCGCAAAAGATCTCAGGCAGAGGGTCTTTCTTGTAGTCTCTCACCTGAAAATTGATGATAATGCCAGCTCTCTATCACCTGCCTAATACAAGTTTTATTTTCAGAGGTATTTGGATGCCATGGTAATGGAGACCTCATATATGACGGTACAACTATAAATACTGTAAGGAGATAAGGACTTTTTAGTGGCAGCCACATTCCTCCTCATGTTTCTAACTGATTTCCACAACTCCCTGACATCTGTTTTGTAGAGTTCTGAACAGATCAATTACTTGCCCAAGTCCATGTGCTTAGGACAATCCCTGCTGTAAGGGGTGTTCAATCACCTTACCGACAAGATTGATTGGATTTAAATCCAACTGTTTGCTCCGATTCCACTGGGCCATCAAGGGTCAAATCTGACATCCTTTCTTATTGAGTTTGAGTCATTTTAGTGCAGACATTCTGGAGGTACTTGGGGAATTCCAGGTTGTGACCTGCAATTTGGCTGTTCATTCCCAGGGTCTGCCATCAGCAGACAAAGCTGGCATATCCCTGGGGAGCGCTGATGCCTGCAGTTCTAAAAAACCTCTTAAGCCTTTGTTCAATCACCTAATTTTGCTTCTTGTTCCTCTCTCAATTTCCTTTTTACTTTGGGGGGGGGGGAGAAAGTGAATGCAAGGCAATTCTGTCTGTACCTGGATTTCCAAAATTTTCTGGATCCCTTCAAATCTACTGCTGCCTCTAAACGTTGTAGTTAGCAATTACATTATGGAATTGATGATCAATCTAATCCTTCTTAAGGTATGTGTTGCTTACTCTACAGCAACTCTACAGATCTCGAACTCCATGTTCTTGCAGAACAATGAATACATTGTCTATTCTTCTCCTCTCCAAAAAATAATCATAGGAAGTGCTGGACAAACTGCTTTAACCTCATTAGGTTACTTAGGAAACTCCCTTTCCCATCATATTCTCCCCCTCTGAATCAGGCCTCCCCTAAACCCAGCATGTTCCTCACTCATTTCCTTGTAGATCAAAGTTACTAAATGACTTTTGTGAAAACAACTGCTTCCCACCACCAAGAGGCACTCAGGCTCACCCTTCCAACCTCGCAATTTTTGTAGTTTATTCCATTTACACAGGACATAACTCACTCAACTGAATATCCAAATTAATCTAAAAACCTTGGATAATATGACTTTGTAGTTTGGGCATAGAAGGCGGAGTCTTGACCTCAGGATTTTCTTCTAGACTCTGCTTTCATAGAATCATAGAATCTTAGGGGCTGGAAGGGACCTCGAGAGATCATCTAGTCCAACCCCCCTGCCAGAGCAGGGTCACCTAGAGTACATCACACAGGAACTCATCCAGGTGGGTTTTGAATGTCTCCAGTGAGGGAAACTCCACAACCTCCCTGGGCAGTCTGTTCCAGTGCTCTGTCACTCTTACAGTAAAAAATTTTTTTCGGATATTCACCTTGAACCTCCTATGCTCCAATTTACACCCATTACCCCTTGTCCTATCACTGGTCATCACTGAGAAAAGCCTAACTCCGTCCCCCTGACACTCACCCCTTACATATTTGTAAACATGGATGAGGTCACCCCTCAGTCTCCTTTTCTCCAAGGTAAAGAGACCCAGCTCCCTCAGCCTTTCCTCATAAGGGAGATGTTCCACTCCCTTAATCATCTTAGTAGCTCTGCGCTGGACTCTTTCAAGCAGTTCCCTGTCCTTCTTGAACTGAGGGGCCCAGAACTGGACACAATACTCCAGATGTGGCCTCACCAATGCAGAATAGAGGGGGAGTGCTATTCCATTTCTGTGACCTGTTGCACTGCCCTTCTGTTTATTTATCTATTTTTAATGGAACAATTATGCCACCAAATTAACTAAGGAGGACTGTTAAATTCTACTTTTCTTTGCATTTGCCTGTGCTTGGAAGAAAAGCTTGAGACTGTGGTTAAACAGTACTTGCTGGGCTCGAAGCACTCCATCTCAGTTACCCATTTATCTCATCTGGTATGGAGAAGCCAGAAAGATGACAGATATGTGACCTCACTTGTGCTGAGCAGTTGCAGCAATACTTTACTGAAGCTTAGAATAAATTATCTAGAAAAACCAATCAATAAATCCATAAAATGTCTTCCGTCTACTGAGCCAAAGGACGTTATTTTGATAAAGAGAATTTTTAAGTGAACAAAGTCTATTTATGACATCAGATGATGCTGTTCATTTGTACTCATCCCAATACACCATTTCACGCAGAGCACTCCAACTGCAACCCAAGAAGACACAGGCTAAGTGCTCACAGGCCACAGAACATACCTCTGAACCAGTGGCAAAGGAAGGAAATTGAGGGTAGACGTCATATCCAGCCCACAATCCAACATGATGGTGGTGGATTTGAACTTGAGCACATTGCATGGTAAAGTTGGATGTCCTGACAGGCAGTACTGAAAGAAGAATACAAGGGTGAGATACTCATGACCTTTATCAACATGGCACACGACTCTGGAAATTGCCTTTTTCCCCTTATTTTTAAACATCTATTTTCATACACACCAAAACAAAACCTGACTGCCTATGAAGCAGTGTCTTACAGCTGAGTTTGTTCACTGCAATTTCCCCACATCATAGTATTAAAAGGCAGATTTTCTTCAGACAAGTTTTTCTGATCACAAAGGTTGAGAGGATGATGTAGCTCTTTTTTGCTAACCACCACCTATTTTCACAAAAATCCTAGAAAATCATTATATTTACAACTCAGTCCAACTGACAAAATCTGGCTTAAATCGGCTAGCAAATTTGACAACTACTTGGGGTGGAAAGGGAGGGAGAAAATGCCTACAGGAAGTTTTCTCCCCTTAAGAAACCAGTCTAAACAACCAAACAAGGTGCAGCTCACACCTCCTGCGGCTGCTTGGCATGGATCAGCAGAGGAAGCTGTACATGTGCACTGCAGCAGCTCTGGGGCATGCTCTCACCTGCTTTTTGTCTTGCTAAATGAAACAGGAAGCATGAGGGAATGGACAAGCATACCTGAATGGAAGGGTTTGTGTACTGAGAAATCCCAAATGCTTTGCAAGCTTAATGAGCCAGTAAGCAGGTTATGTACAGAGGCACTTCAGCATCATTGAGATGCAGTCACCTCTTGTGTGGAGAGTGACAAACATTTAACAAGGCACAGAAGCTGCTGAAGCTTTGAATAACGACAGAAGTGAATAAAAACGCCAGCTTTAAAATGTAGGATTCAAAAAGGTAAGCGTCTGAATAGAGCAGTGGCCAGCTCTCCATTAGAGTTTCTCTCCCTGGATATTTCTTCAAGGATTGCAAGAATAGGAGATTTTGCATCTCGAATACAAGTCTGGGCATCTGGCAGCAGAGCAACACTCAGGTGGTCAAACATTCATTTCTAAATTCAAGTGTTGGTCAATTAAGATGAAAAATACCAATTGGTTGGCTATGCACTGCAGCAAAAACTTACTCAGTCATTTTCCAAGTCATTTATACGCTATGCTTGCTTTCTATTCTTCACTCTACAAAGTGGAAAGAAGGTAGATTAATAATTTCATTTTCTACCTCTGCTCAAAAAAATGTTAACACAGAAGTGCAACTGTCTGGATTAACAACTCCCCAGGGAGTCTATTTTTTGTCTATTCATCAAAAACTGTTTCAAATTACATTTAAATATTAAAAAAGATACTAAGCCCCAAATACTAAATTAAAAACATCACAAAGATTTTTCTCTTAAATTCACAAAGCCCTAGTTATTAAGGGGCAACATTACACTCTTCTTGCTGCTAGCCAAGTTTAAAAACAACATGAAAAGCAAAGCTGGTGAAGAAGTGAGCATATAAGGAATTCAGTTGTTTCATTTGCACATGTAAAATATGCATGTGAAATTAAGTTTACCAGACCAGAACTTTGACAACTGAAGATATAAATCGAAGTAAATAGAATGAAATGAAAGAAAAAATAAGATCTAAACTATTTTTGCAGATTTTAAACTATCAGTAATTAAAAAAGGCAACGAAACATCACCACTATCATCAGCAAAACACTTTCCTGCTTTTTAAAAAAAAATCATGAATGGGATCATGACCCTGATATCTAGAAGCTAACTGGAAAATATTCCTTTTTTCTTTTTTAAAAGCATCTGAAATAATCTATATCTGCGGCTGTCACACTGTGGTAAATGGATTCCCCGGAGTCAATGGACTCTTTCTACCAGATTCAACTAAAGTGACTAAAAAAAAAAAGCAATTCCTATATGCTGTACAGCTATTCACACAGGTGACACTTCTGCACCTGTACCTCTGTTAGAATTTTAGATCAGGAATCCGAGAATCTGAATGTTCACACCATATACATCTCTATGCATGTTAGAACTGCATGTATATATATTTGCATGTTAGAAACTATAATTTCCACGCAGTTTATACCTGCTACTGTTTAAAACAGATCCAGAGATCTGTCACTAATATTCCTGACTGGACTAAAATGCAAGTCCTTTTTTGTTCTGAGAAATGTTTTCTTCCATCTTGATTCTCTTACAGCTAAAGGCTGATGCTGCTAACACACTAAGTGCCTCATCTCCTAATGAAAAAACAGTCACGCAAAAAAGTCACAAAACTTACAAAAGACATAAATACGCCCACCTCTGCTCACAATTTTCTTGGCAGGCTTTGTAATTTAGATGGAAGTTTGGCAGGGTGAGACACAAAGAATCAAGATGAGGGGCTCATTCCAGATGCTAAGGCCCTCACAGAGGCAGGTTCTCAGCAGACATCTGGTTCGCACTGAGCACTCCACAGCCTGGAGCATCTCTGGTGATCTCATGGATGGCAGTGTGACAGAGAAAAGAGATGATGTCTCACACTAGCAGCTCCAAAACATTCCAAATTTTGCAGGTTAAAGACAGTGCTCTGAAGTCCAACTGAAGCCAAGAAATACTGCAGTGCATTTTTCCACTAGTAATATGGCATTCTAGCTTAAAATTTAGGGGGAAATTAGCAAGTGGGGAAATTGCCTGGACCCAGCACATCAGAATTTGTGGGAGTCGGGTATTTTCACTGGATTCTGAATCAGGTCTGGAGTCTATCACCTCTACTTTGTTCTTCTAAATTCAACCCAAATAAATGAGAAAAGAGGATATTATAGCATCCAACTCCCTTCCCCCCTCTATCCAACCCCAAAATTCAAACTTATCTCCAAACATAAGATGAAGAATCTGGTCTCAAGATCCCCAAATTTATTTTTAGACACAGGTCTAAAAATGTTACAATACAGATTTCAGACAGTTTATATTCCACACCCCCCAATCTGTTCCCTCTCTCTACACCTATGCAAAACTCTGGATATTAAAAGAACTGTGCATTTCCACTATGGCCTTCATGTAAAGATTGCTCAGTTTGCTTTCCCCCCCTGCATTATATCAGCCTCTGCAATCACATCCAGAAGTGCTTAGCTATGCACAGTTTGTCCCACTGGTAGTATTCATCCACACATAGAGACTTAAATGCATATGTAAGATTATGCAGGATGAGGCTCTTTGGCCACCTGCTTACTGAATTAATTTTACACAGATACACTACAGATAGCAATTTACTGGAAGTCCCAAAATTAGCCCAGAATCCAAGTTCACTTTATGAAGCTTCCTCAAGACAAACTGCTCAGTCATTAAAATGAGAGACAATGTTATATTTAACACCAAGCCATGTAAATTCAGGTTAAACAAATCAAACGTTACGGTCAGGTATTTTGAAACCCACTTTGGTTTTCACCTCCAGACAAAGAACTGCAGCACGTTATGTGAAACAGAAATTCTTCCTGGAAAGCAAAGTAGTGGCTGAATTCAAGGGCTCTGGGAAACTGGAGAAGGCTCTGTGAAGACGTTAGAGCACCTTCCAGGACCTGAAAGGGCTACAGAAAAACTGGGGAGGAACTTTTGACAAGGGCTTGGAGTGATGGGACAAGGGGGGACGGTTTCAAGCTGCAAAAGGGGAGATTGAGACGAGATGTGAGGAAGAAATTCTTTGCTGTGAGGGTGGTGAGACCCTGGCCCGGGCTGCCCAGAGCAGCTGTGGCTGCCCCATCCCTGGCAGTGTTGAAGGGCAGGTTGGATGAGGCCTAGAGAAAGCTGGTGTAGTGGAAGATGCTCCTGCCCACGGCAGGGGGTCGGAACTCAACGATCTTTTAAGGCGCCTTCCAACCCAAAGCAGTCTGGGATTCTGTGCTTCACCTCATCCAAACCACCCAACCCGGACAGCCCCTGCACCGCCTGCAGCAGAAGGCCAGAGGAGACCCACCTTCCCGGGCCTGTGCGCCTCGCATACCCCGGTGCCAAACCCCCACCCAACGCAGCCTCCCCAGCTCCG